ATTTCTATACACGGTGAACCAAAGGGTAACCTTCCTGAATATGATGTGCATGTATGCATTATTGAACAATCTCTGCTGCCGGCATAACACACAGAAACCTCTAACCAAAGTGTTCAAGTTGCATTGTGGGTATCATAGGAATAACAATATCTAGTTCTACTGCATCAGTTTGTTCCTTTTGTTTAATAATCTGAACCCCATTAGCTGCTTGTGGGTTTGACAGACATGTTACCTTTAAAAAATGGCCCAAATAACATCATTTATATCAACCAAAAGTTGTAAAAACAAAAAAATCATCTTTCCAGCTGTGCAAAAGTAACCCAACATAGGCTTAAAATTGTGAGAATTTTTCTAAATTATTTTATTTTACATATTCAAAATTAAGTGTTTACATGTTCTCCTCGTGCAGCGTGGGTTCTCTCCGGGTTCTCCGGCTTCCTCCCACAAGTCTAAAAACATGTTGAGGTTAATTGGTGATTCTAAATTGTCCGTAGGTGTGAATGTGAGTGTGCTTGGTTGTCTGTCTCTAAGTGTAGCCCTGTGATAGACTGGTGACCTCAGCTGGGATAGGCTCCAGCTTGTTTTTTTCAATATTGGTAACTGTGAGCACTTGGAAAAGTGGTACACATATCGATTCAATTTTGTTTTCTATTTTTGTAATTTTATTTATTTTTTTAATGTAACTTATTAAAAATGTTCCTAGGATTTATCACATTTTAACTTTGTCATACTACATAAAGGACATTTTTTTAGTTCTCTCTGCCTCAAACGATGGTTATATTGGTTTTATATTGCAGTGAAAGATGAGCCCACAGTAAATAAATATGTGCCAGAGTGAAAAACATCAAGTTAAACATTAAATGTCAAGATTTCCGGAATGCTAAAGTCGAACAATGATAAATCTGTGGAATATTTAGCTCAGTTAGTTGAGGATTTAAAAAAATAAAAAAATAAAAGATGAAACATTTTATTTGTTCAGTAACAGAACAAGCACGGCTGGATATTTAATCAGTATCACTTTCATGTCACTGCACTCTACAGATGCACCTAAAACCATTATTCCAATAACTATAAAATTTACATCAACCTGAATACGTGAGTGCTTTATGACTTCTATACACGGACTCCCAAACATGGATGTCTTCGCATTGTCTTTAACATACCGCATACCTAGCTGACCCTGAAAATCCGCCCCCGAGTGCACAACCACCGCTGTGTGAGTGCATCGACCACAGAACAAGCTCGACGCACGGCATCAAATATGGATGCTTCCTTTAGTACAGGCTCATTTCTTTTTCATAGCACAATAATGTTCTCTTTTGCGTTGGGAAGTTGCGGTGCTATCAGGGATGTTTCGGGAAAGTCCGAGCAACTCCCAAATCAGCGTGATGCCAACGTAGGCGGGAAGACACTCGGACTACCTGCACGGCGGCGTCTGCAGTCCCCCCCTCATTTAACAATAATCAGTCTCCGCGTTCTTTCATCGCTGACTTGTCAGCTTACTGGCCGGTGCAGTCCCACATGGCATCGATCTGGTTTTAAAGCACCAGGATGCCGCCTCGCTCTGAACTCCTGGTGTGATGGGGCAGAGCTAATGCAAGAGGAAAGGAGCCTTGTCCGTGTTCGTCTTTACACAGCTGCAGGAGCGGTTGCAGATACTGAGAGGACTCTGGAGGTCAGGTGACGGTCAATGTTGCAGGCAGATGTCGAGACACCGGTACACCTGCGTTGCTCTGTTTCTCCTATTATCGACCCCTTCCTGGCCGTCCCTCTCGTGCTGACCTTGTGATCTCGTCCTCAAAGAGGAACTCAGCAGCATCGACGGGATGTGTTTTGACATTGGCCTGAAGGTATTGACTCATGGCTTTTAGATCCGTTTCACTTTGTGCGCTGAGCTCAACCGGCAGATGTTTTAAAGCCTGGAACAACCATAAGGAGAACTGGCAAAGACATGAGCGTGCTTTCAATGCAGTAATCTCAAGCAGTTTGGGGATTCTTCATTTGGCGTGGTCTGTCATTGTATTGTCATGTCTTAAATCCAAAATTCATTCTTGGTGAATTTACATCAAGGCACAAAAAGGAGATTCTCATCCAGATGTTTTTATTTTTTTTAATGCATATATTGTTGTTAGAGTACAAAAAAAATACTTTAACATCTCGTGCAGAGAATGCAGCCCTCTGCAAAAGCCAACAGACTATTTTTATTTTATTTTATTTTTTTGCAATTTGAAGGAAAGTGGCTTGTATTCATCTGCATAGTTTTTGCCTAATATTGCTGACAGACAGAAAACATGCCGGTCTTTTAAGGACAACAGCAGCATCATTTGTTCCAGCAAATGCCAGTAACTACACATTTACATTCAAACCCTCTGATGGATGCAGGAATTATGTGCATCGGTAGCAAAGGAGGGAACTTGTGTGATGTTGTCAGAGTCACAGACTTTGCAGGAGGAGGTTGGGCGGCTGGATGGGTCAGTCAAGCCTCTGACTTTGACACAGGAGATCACTGTTTGTGTCATGTTTCATTGTTCAAGCATGATGTTTAAATTTTTGCTTGAAAATTGAATCCAACTTCAGCCATAGTTGTGTTAGAGTTTGCACACCACAGTAAACTTTACTACAAGTCACCCAGCCAATGATAATTTTTTCCCCCCCATCAACTTAGGTATAGAAATTGTGAAAAAAAAAATTCAAATATTCTTTGCTTTGAAATGCAGTCGGGGTGTCCGACTTTCACACCAGCCCAAATTAAACTGTACTAACAGTTATTTTATATGTAACGAAACTCAGTTCTGTTTTGCACTAACATGCATTTGGTCACTTGACTGATTGCAGACTAATTTACTTGCTGTAACAAAATAAACACACAAGACAACTTGTACTCATTGTACTGCCGAGGAAGGCATTAAGAGTTAGCAAGACTAAAAGATGAAGACTGCAATGATATATAAAATAGAACAGAATAGAATAGAATAGAATAGAATAGAATAGAATAGAATAGAATAAAACTTTATTGATCCCTTCGGTGCAAACCTCAGGGAAATTGTTGTACTAGAAAAACAACACAACACCAACACAACATCAGCAACAACAGTAACAACAACAATAGTAATAATAATATTAATAACAATAACGCTGGATACAGTAACAAAATATAGTCAGTTTGACGCTATTTAAAACTCGCAGATTATCTGTGAATTCAAACAATCAGGTTTGTAAAACTGCTTGGTGTAAAGTGGTGAATGCAGAGGCAGAGGTTGGTGGTGATTCTCTTCTTTACCTCGTTGTTCTTGGGAAATTTAAATAAGGAAACCAAGCTGCACTTGAAATTCCTGCATCCAGCAAAGACAAGTTTGCTGAATGAAGGCAGCAGTTGCAGTAACTCATGTTTAAACAGGAAAACTGCTGATGCTAATGCTCTAGTTTTCATAATGTTACAGTGTCAGGTCGAGGGGGCATGCAAAGTTTGACTCCAGCGCATCTTCCAGCCGCGATTTCTGGCCTGTCCGGAAAATCCCGAGCAACAGATGTCTTCTGACCTGTATAATGTGTTTAGAGAGAAACCTCTGACTTTCCTTTATACACTTTCATTTTTACAGTAAAGTTTTGTACAATGTCACCCTGCCAGTGTATGCGTCATCCTGTGTGTGTGTGGGGGGGTGGGGGTGGGTAATTACCAACAATGTCTTTTGTCATTAAACTGGGACGACTTGTTGGAACAAAGCCCTCAGTCAAACCAGCCATCACAGTCATCATGACAGCTGGCATCTTTTAGAAAAGGCGCTCTGTTTGTACAAAGCTCAGCCTCAGCAAACAACTCAGTGCCCTCTCTCTCATTTCATGCTGTGTATGTTAAACGGAGCATGATTGTACACCAGCGTCTTAGCAAGGAAAGGAAAAAACGGTGCCCATCACAGCAGAAAAAACACTTGATGGCAGGCGGCACAGGAAGCGGCACTTTGATCTTGCAGCTGCTTGTGCCGTTGAACACCAGCTCGAAATGTTGAGGAGAAAATTTCAGAGAACCCACTTCCTTCAGGGTCCTGGTGGTTCCGTCACAGGTGGCAAACTTCCCCGGGAGAAGCTCGGACCACTTAGCCGGTGCCAGTCCTCGCTTTAAGCAGCACCAGCCAAGCGGATGAATAATTGACGCTCGCATTCTGTACTTTGGTGAATTTTAAAGCTGTATTCTGCAGAGACTCTAAATGGTAGAGGGAGGCCACGTTAATCATTCATGGGCTGCTTTTACCGCTTTGCTTAAGGTCACTGTCCTGAAGGCGGCCGGGCAGGAGGAAAGTGGAGAAAGAGGAGTGCAAGTAGAGGGGTAGCAGAGGCAAGGAAGGAAGGGGCTGAGAGAATTCTGCTCATTTGAATCTACAACCAAATGTTGTGATCCAGGGGACTGCTCCGGTTGTGTGATATTTAGAATATCAGTCTGCAAACACAGGAATTTGCCAAATCGTGTGTCGAATAAGCACAATGAGGAACCACAAGTGCTGTCATGTGAGGAGAACGGACTCAAAATTATAGTTTTCTTCCAGTTTTTGCAATACATGATGCAGGGAGAGCCTCGAGTATGAATATTTAATAGCTGTCAATAGCGTGAGTGTAGGTATAGAGGCTGACATTCATCCTTTTCCCGCCATTTGAATGCAAAGAGTCAAATGCACACAAGGGAGCGCCCCTTGGTTTCATAACCGCGCCACGTTTCTTTATAATCCCGAGTCGTGCCGCCGCCAAAACTGCCAATCAACATTTGGTCACACATGCTAGGAATCAAATAAATAAACGACTGCAAACAAACCGTTTCCAGTGTTATTCTTTATTGATTGGATCCAAAGTTTTTGATGACTTAGCCAGAGTTCATCCAGTTGTACTGTTTATTGAAGTAGGAGCGGTTGTATAACTGTGACAGTTGCTCAGTGTGTTTCACTCCGGAGTCCAGGTCAAATAAATATCTCACTTCCCTTTTTTTTTTTTTTGCCTCCCTTTCTTCTCAGGGAGCTGATGCCGAAGACTCTGGAGGGCCAGATCACCATGGAGAAAACCCCCAGCTACTTTGTGACCAGAGAGGCTCCGGCGAGGATCTCCGCCATGTCCCGGGACACCAAGCTAATCGTGGTGGTGAGGGACCCGGTCACCAGAGCCATCTCGGACTACACCCAGACGCTGTCTAAGAAGCCCGACATTCCCTCTTTTGAGAGCCTCACCTTTAAAAACAGGACTACGGGGCTCATCGACACGTCGTGGAGCGCCATCCAGATTGGCATCTACGCCAAGCACCTGGACAACTGGCTGCAGTACTTCCCCATGGACCAGATCTTGTTCGTGAGCGGCGAGCGTCTGATCAGCGACCCGGCCGGAGAGCTGGGCCGAGTGCAGGACTTCCTGGGCCTCAAGAGGATCATCACGGACAAACACTTTTACTTTAACCAGACCAAGGGATTCCCGTGCCTGAAGAAAGCGGAGGGCAGCAGCAAGCCTCACTGCCTGGGAAAAACCAAAGGGCGCACCCATCCGAACATTGACCCCGAGGTGGTGCAGAGGCTACGGGACTTCTACCGGCCCTTCAACATGAAGTTCTACCAGATGACTGGACGGTTCTTTGGCTGGGATGACTGAATGTGTTTTTCTTTTTGATATCAGAAACCCTGAATCTTAGGGGCAACAGAAAGAAATACTGATATTTGGGGAGTAAAGTTGTATTATTATGAGAATAAAGTTATGATTCCAGTAATATAGTTTTAGTGACAGTCAAAACAAATATTATTACTTTTTTAAAATCAGGAAAATGGATATTTTGGCAAAAAAAAAGGAATAATCTCGCACTGCAGGGTACAAATGCATAAAATAGTGGTAGAGCTCAGGCTTATAATTTAACCATTTAAACCTCATTTAATCTACCTGATTTAATTTTTTTTGTACTCTTAAAATATGATTTTTTTTTAAAAATGTGAAATTATTTTATAACATTAAATATTTATTCTGATTAAATAATGACTTTTAGTTTTGTTTAAATTTTAAACATATGCACACAATATTATTAATATAACATTAATATATTTTTCTTACATTATTGCAATTTTATTATACATTCTGAGCATAAAGGTAGAATTATATATATATATATAATATAATGCAAATCAAAAGCGGGAGAAGTATTGTGTTAGTGTCACAATATGAGCATTTTTTTCCCCCAAAATATGACATTTTTTTCCTTACATTGCAGTTGTTAACATTTTTTTTACTGAATATTTTGAGTTTTTTCATTAAACCAGTACTTTATTCTCATAATTTGTGACTTTTCACTCAATTCTCATAAGTTAGCTCTCTGAGTGTATTGTCTCCCCGCCCAAACCACTCCATCTTCAGCACTAACCCTGAGCAATATGCAGCTGGTACAGGAGAGAAACATTCTCTTCCTCAGTAGCGCCCCAGATATGCAATATTTCTTTGTTACATTTTCCACCGTCAGAGCTGCCTCTAATCCATGCTCATAGAGATGTTTTCTTCAAAACCCCCCCAAAAACGATTGAGTTGTTGAAGGATTTGCGTCATATCTCCCTGCACTATCTGGTTTTTATATTATTTTTTTCAGTTCAAAAGTCCTTGGCTGTCAAACAGAAATTATGCAGTGCTTCTTGAAGGCGACGGGTGAAATCACATTGTGTCCAGGCGACTTTTGATAAAAACTGAGCGATTTAATGCCATATTCTGAACATACATACATAGCTGCTTTGAAATTTTGACATTTTTCTAGCAAAAAAAAAATATGAAAAGATAAAAAGTATATGTATTTTTGAAATGTATTTATTCAAGAAATACTCGAGCAGTATGTATGTATGTATTTTGAATAACTCCTCAGCGATTGTTTCCTCTTTTACTACTATTATTATTGTGCTCCCCATGCCTTTAGAGTTTATACTAAACACATGCTATCCTCACTTTAATTTCAGGTGTTTTTAGTATGAATTTGCTATACGTGAATGAGTGTGGTGTGGGAACACTTGTTTCCAGTTAGCTTTCAGTTCCAGAGCTGCAAGTTTGTTATTTCAAGGATTGTTTAACCACCTTCAGTTAATGAAGCTACAGGCAAAAGACAGCACTCACTGTTATTTGAGCGACTCCGGCGGAGGAAAAAGACCTCCAAAAAAAAAAAAAAGAAAAACGGGGTCCTTCCCCGAACTGTGACTCAAATTTCCTCAACATGCCTCCTTGTGAATAAAATACACTTGATGTCACTGGTCTTCCTTGCCTTGAGGCAGAGTGTGTGTGTGGGGAAGTCTGTTCTAAACCCAGGGAGCACGAGAACAATGGCGGAGTTGTGTTTCTAATTTCTGTCAACTTGTATTGTGAGCCACTTTCGGAAAGCAGAGATGCATCAAAAGATACACAATCAGTGTTTTTTCTTTTTGGTTTGGGCATCAGAAATGAAGCAAATGTAGATTTTTCTTTTTTTTTTAAAAAAAGGTTGGGGGTTATGCAACCAATCTAACTGCGCTGTTCTGACTGTTGCTTTCTTAAAGTTGTTGGGATTTTTAATGCACTCCTTCAATAAAAGATGTTATATGTAAAAAGTTTTTCAAATTCGTCTGTATGTTTTTTCTATTTTTCATTGCGGTGATTCAGGCTCGGGCTGCAAGGTGGCGCAGTTGGTAGCACTGTTGCCTCGCAGCAAGAAGGTCGCCGGTTCGCGTCCCGGTGGGGGCACCGGGATCTTTCTGCGTGGAGTTTGCATGTTCTCCCCGTGCAGCGTGGGTTCTCTCCGGGTTCTCCGGCTTCCTCCCACACAGTCCAAAAACATGTTGAGGTTAATTGGTGATTCTAAATTGTCCGTAGGTGTGAATGTGAGTGTGCTTGGTTGTCTGTCTCTAAGTGTAGACCTGCGATGGACTGGTGACCTGTCCAGGGTGTCCCCTGCCTTCACCCTAAGTCAGCTGGGATAGACTCCAGCCCCCCACGACCCTAATGAGGATTAAGCGGTGTATAGAAAATGGATGGATGGATGATTCAGGCTCAAAAATGAAGGCATATAGTGTAATAGGGAAACAATGTGGACCAAACACTGGAGTCATCACAGTGCTGCTCACGCATCTAACAAGCTCAGCTTCCTACAGAATCACTCCCCAGCTGCTCCTTTCCTCTATCTCCTCTGTTACACCTTCACATATTGTCTCTGCTTATCTCTGTCCAGCCTCCAGGGCAGAGTGTCAAAGGAGGCATTGAGGATTTTACAAGACGCCTGCAGTCTGACAGCCTTATTTTTGGGTGTGCTGGCAGCTCTTTAGCATCCTGAAGAGGCAGGTACAAGCTTTTTAGGGAATATTTGCAAAGAAGTTGGAGTGGCACTCTTGGGTTTCTTGGCCTGGAAAATGCAATTAGTGTGCACATGACAAGCAAAGCTAATGTTCATCTATCCGTTAGCTATGAGGGTACTTCAGAAAGTTCTCAGCTTTGCCTGGAAACAAAGGGGGGTAGCTCCCATTCTGGTGCAAAACTGTATACTGAAAGGCCTGATATTACTGTCCACATGTTTGTTGTTGATTCTTTGCCAGTGGCAACCTTCTTCTGAAGAAGAGAGAAACCAAGAAATGGACAAGAAAGAAGCCAGAGTGATGAAAGGTATTGGCATGAATAGGGAATGACCCCCAAGGATATCCAAGAAGACAGGATCATCACGCCTGGTGAAGACTTCCATTGCAATTCAACCTTAAAGAAGTGGGCTGCTAATTTCAAAAAGGGCAGGGAGAGCACCGAAGATGAACCACAGCGGAGATCATTCATGAATCATAGATGTGCCACCGTCCAACACATAGTGGAAACCCTGGATATCAGTGTTTGCTCATTCCCAAGATGTCAGTGAAAACAACGTGAACCGAGTCAGCTGTCTGCCCCAAATGTTGACACCAGATCTGAAGTTAAAAGGAATGGAAATTTTACTTTCGGCTCATTTTCAGGTTTATCAAGCCAAATCCATCAGGAGGTACGGAAACCAAGATAAGACATGGGTCCACTACTTTGATCAGGAATCAAAGCAAACAAAGGAAACACAGCGGTTCTCCGGCTCCCAAAATACCTGCTTTATCGGGTAGGTGTTTGTAGGAACTGGACATTGGGTAAAAGACAGGGAGCACCTCAAGCAGGTCACCAGAACAACCATGTGCTCGTATGCTCACACCTACAGCCAGTTTAGAATCAATTAACCTACCATGCATGTTTTTAGACTATGGGAGTCAACACCTAGAGAAAACCCATGCAAATTCCAAGCAGAAACGTCAACCAGCAGGTTCAAAACCAGAGACTTCTTGCAATGAGGCAACAGCATCAATCTCAGAACCACAATGCTGCTGCAGCATTCAAATATTTTGTTAATAATTGGACTCTTATTCTGCATGGCCAGAATGTTGGGTTTGATGCTTGCACTGTGTGATCAGAGAAACCAGTTACGAACTCGGTGCTCGCACAGAAACAAGTCAGTCTGATTGGTTGTGTCCATTAGTCAACTCAGTTTAATTCAAACAATATGGTGCCTTCCCCCAAAAAATGTTGACCAGAAAACAAAAAGGCAGCATTACATTCAACAAAACTGACTTTGAATAGGATGCAAGAATGAAAAATAGATCCACGGATTACTGACGGGGACGACTATGGTCTGTGTGTTCTGCCGAAAATGTCAGTTTCAGTTACGTAGCAGCGAAGTCTATAATCAGCCACAGAATGAGAAATACTAGTTGAATAATTTTAACTCTTTCAGCCCAACTTTGCATCCAAATTTAATTTTAAGAATTTATTGCAGCAACACGTAGCATATATCAAATGCCTGTCTTGACCTTTCCAACGAAGCCAGTTGCTTGGGTGTAGGACAG